GGTGTCTTAGCGGTGGGTGATGCCAGGACTTGCGGGTCTCTGGGGTGAGGGATCCCACAGAGTGGGGTCTGTCCCTTTGGGGCGAGGGATGCCTAGATTTGGTGGGGGGATGGTAGTGGCGACTTCAAGCCGGTCTGTGAGTTGGCAGAGACTCCGGCTGCTTCTCCAAGGCTGAAGGCTGTCACCCTGTGTGTGTCCCCTGGCAGCCCCCAGCTGCCAGCTGCCCCCAAACCTGCCCTGAGAGGGCTGTGCTCAGGCCAGCACACTTCCCATTTGTGCACCCCAAATTCCTCCAGCTCCCCCAGTCCTATCGCTTGCAGAGCAGGCGCTGGTATTGCAAGCATCATGAAATGCTTTTTTTGAGTATAACTGTGCTGCTTTTTTTTCCTTAACAGCCACCCATTGCAAATGAGCCCTCTGTTGTTGTTGTTATTGTTGTTTTTAGGCTTGAGATTGACTTTGGTTGTGAAAATATTTTTTTTCCGAAGACATTATTTAACCCAAAGCATTGCATCACTCTTAAGTAAAAATGATTGTTTTAGTGTTTGCTTTGGATTAATAACTCAGCACTTGCATTCCTTCAAGAGCTTACATGTTTTCTGTAACCATCAGAAGTTGTACGCGCAGCAGTGATTACTCTGTGACTGTCCAGGCTCCCTGTCTGGGCTTCGCTGAAGTCCATGGAACAGCTTATAGGCATTTCTCTGGATGTCAGATCAGTTCCCAGGACTGATCAATTTTTAGAGCAGAGAGTGGGAGAGAATTCTTTAATATTTGAGAATTTCAAGTTCATTCTAAGTAGAAATGGAGGATGAGTTCATATATCTGTTCTTAGAGTTGTGGCTACACCTTTAAAGCATAATTGATCCATTAAACAAAGTAATTGTAAAGCACTGAATAATAGATCAAGGACCAAGCAGAATCAGAAAGTAAAAATTGGATTAGAACTGGAAAATGTTGCTTTATTTATTTAATATTGCGGTGCATTTCTGCTTAAATCACTTTGACACGTTTTTTGGCTGCTGATGAATGGGCAGATCTCAGACGAGAGCTGACGTAGGTGTTATCCCCATCCTCTGAGCCTGAAAGGTGCTTTTCCTTTGCAATTTAAGGACTTGATTCAAACCTTCCTCACTTCAGTGGTGATTAGAATGCTGAATTCATTCACCTTTGGAGATGGCATTCCGCTTGGGACTTTTTTCTTGAGCTGAATTTCCCAAAAATCTGTTTTTAGACAGGGTGCTGAAGAAAATGTCCTTCCTGGTGTGTCCTGTCAAGATTTAGGAGTAGCAGTATGAGTTACACATTGCAGATAAGGTGTGGGCAGGAGCACTTGAGTTGAATATTTTCAAAACATGTCATACATTTTTGAAAGGGGAGCCTTAAAAGTTCTGCCAGATGTGCATATCTGTGTGTGTGAGTTTTCAAAAGAAATTGTTCAGCACAGTGTTTTAGAGACCTTGCTTGCTAGCACATCCTCAGACCTGTTCTGTGGCTGAGTGGTACTTCGCTTCAGGACCGGTCCCACAGAGATGGATGGGTTTGAGATACACAACTGAGAAAAACAGGGAGTCAGGAGCTGAGCAGTGAGGAACAGCAGAGCCTGTGACTCCTGCTGCCAGTGTCCTGGGGCAGCCAAAATCACAGGACCTGAAGGGTTTTTTGAGACTAGGGCAAAATCCGACCATTAGCACACTTCTTATTTTCTTTTTTTTTAAAGAGAGAGTTAGTAAGTAAGTAAGTAAGTAAGGCTGTAGTGGTAGTTCTGTAGCCATATTAGTCTTGTAAGTAAATATTCTGTGTGTTTGGGCTCACCTGAAGCCTAGAGCTGTCTCCTTCATTAAATGTGTGTTCAGGAGGAGTGCTAGCCATTTGGATCACACACACTATTTAATGTCTTGACCTCAATGCAAGAGCTTTCTTCCTAAATCACTTACTGAACTGTAAATACATATTTTGATCTGGCTTCTGCTGGCTGAACTAGTGTAATATTTACCCAGTAGAGTGAGGTCTAATGGTATTTATCATGTAAATCCCAAGGTAAGATCTGTAAGCTTTTTTCCTCAAGCGAATGTTTGTTCTGATTCACAGTCTTTCCCAGAGCTGTTATCATCTTTTATGTACCTTTTTACAAGTTTTCTGTTTATGTACTGCTGACCAGAGCCTTTGGTCTATCACTCTTGCTGTGAGACATTAAGAGAGTAGTGAGTTAATTAAGCTTACATTTGGGCATAATCAGAACCTTTAACTAATAGCAGTCCTCATGAGAGAAAGGGGACTGTTTTTTGCATTAAGTTCATATAATAATAAAAAGTCTGATAAGCTTTTTGGTTAAAAAATATGTAAAAGATGTGCAATAACCTGTTTCCAAGCCTTACCATATCATTGCTCATTCAGGGTCTCTGTTTTTTTAAAACATACCCAGTAGTTTGCATTTTAGTTTGTGCTTATCTAAGCTGTATTGAGTAAGCAGCTGAAATATTTCCCTCTTGCCCCTGCAGGGGGAATGCTACCGCAGGAGCATTTTCTTGGATGTGGACACTTATGCAAAGCTTTTTTCTATTACACATTTAAGACCTCTGTTAGTTTCATGTAATTCTAGATAACAACCACAGAATCCATATTTAAACTCCCTATTTTAGCTACTTACCCTTGGACTTCTCTAAAAAACCTATCATGCAGTCTCACATTTGCAAAAGCACTCAACCACTAGATGTTATCCTAAGAAACTAGTAGTTACTTAAAAGTCTTTAATTTAATAGATAATTTCCTGTTGTAGCTTCTCTATAAGGCAGGATTCCTGACTATTTGGTGCATTTGGTCTTTGTACTTGCCTGAGCTTGCTCAGGCTCTGAGCTGGGAAGGCAGAGTGGCATAAGCCATGGTCCATCGGTGCTCAGTGTAAATCCCTGACAGTCCTGGATTCATCCCTGAGCAGCTCCGTATGGGGTCATGGCTTTAAACATCCTGGGCTCAACTCTGAAACTTGCCAGGAGGCTGCACATTCAGATTCATGAAAGATCTGAGCAGCCTTAAATCTTCTTATTGAGCCATGAGAACTTGTGAAGTGTCGGAGGCAGCTCTTGAGCATCTGACCTGTCCTATATCTGGAATCTATTTGTTACTCATTTTATTTGCTTGATGCTGTATTGAACTCCAGGCCTGCGACCGAGACCAGCAGTGCGGAGGAGGGATGTGCTGTGCCGTTAGCCTCTGGATCCGGAGCCTGCGAATGTGCACGCCGATGGGAAATTTGGGAGAGGAGTGCCATCCTTTGAGTCACCGAGTGAGTACGTCATCGAGGGGGGGCTGTGGGACCGGAGCTGGCAGGGCAGAAAGAAGCAGGAATAGACTGCTTTGTATGTCGTGTTGCATAAAAACTATACGTGGTGAAAAGGCGGGGAAACATCGCATGCATTACAATACCCAGGCATTTGCACTGTATGGAAATAGCACGGATGGTACCTACGTAAGGAAATACATTACTGTCAGAGTTGTGCTGAAAAGAATCCAAGGATGAAAGCACTACACGCTTCCCAGATTGTTTTCTTATTAGTTTGTTGTTGCTGTTTCGCTTCATTACATGATCCAAAACGGCTTTAGCAGCTCCCAAGCCCAACCCTGCCAATGCCTGCATGTGAGAGCACAAGAGTAGCAAGTGCTACCGACCTCAGTGGGACTGGACGAGATCCCACCACAAGCATAAAAATGTCCCCAGGTGTTGGGACACCTATTGTGTCACTGCAGCACAGTCCCTGCCATCAATATCTCCTTGTGTTCCAGAGGCTGAGAGCCACTGGCGCCTTCAGAAGCCACTGAGAAGGTGTTGACACATACTTCTACTTGAGAAAACTCACCACAGATTCTCTTTGCTTCTATTCTACCCAGTAATTTCAAACATATGTACATATGCATATATACACACGTATATATAACACGTTACATATTAGTACGTTATCATATGGTATTAACAAATACATTTAAGGCTATGTAATTATGTATATCACACATACTACGAAGAAATCTTTTTATTTACAAATAATACTAAAGATTGAATGGGATATTACCAAGGAGCTTGAGAACCTGGCAATCTTCAGAGCCGTCTTTAGGGAAGAGTATGGCCCAACAGTCATCACATGTAAAAGATATGGAGCCAATAAATTTAGATTTTAAATGTGCAGCTAGTTAGCTGCCTCTCTCATGGTCTCATCCAATGCCTAGCTTCTCAATATTTATGGTTTATTTTCTTAGTTTTAGGAAGTTCAAGGCTCTGTTCTACTACAGTTGAATTGTTTAACCTTCTGCTCTGATATTAGGGACCAAATTCTCATCTTTACTATGTAATATAGCAGGTTTTTCTTGTAAGGGCTCTTTACAATGACAGCAGTTGCAGGATAAGAGAAATTGTCTTCTAGGGTTTTTTTTACGGGCTTATTGCTATTGGGCAATAATTTATATCAGCTGATATATTTTAAGCTGATTGCCTGGATAATGACAATCAGAGAAAATGCCTGTCCACCCTAGACTTAGAGCCATTGTCACGGATGTTTATAAGCTTTATGAAGTTAATTTTAGATTTAGATTCCTCACTCCGCTCCTCTTCGTGACAAACACAAAGCAGATTGATTGTCTGTAGTATGTAAAACCAAGTATTGTGAAGGATGGAGAGTTTACTCAACAGTTCCTCTCCCCTAAATACTTGGGTGAGGGGCAGCTGGGAGACTGACCACCCTGAGCACCTACAAACTTTTATTTGCCTGCTGGCCGGGTACAAAGCAGGCACCCCCATGGATATGCCACCGCCCTGGGGACCTCCAGAGGAGCCTGGAGATATCCTGGAGGAGACAGCTGGCAGGTGGGCTTCCACCTTCTAATTTCCTTCTCAGCAACCAGATGATGGAGGCTTGATGCTGTTAACAATCTTGGTTGGTATGGCAGAGGCAGGGCTTGCAGGCAGGGCCGGGCAGGTGAGGTTTGGCAGGGCAGCAGGCAGAGCTGGCAGCAGGGGAGTGGATTTGCTACCGCTGGGCACCTTGCACGTAACCCCCACATCTCTCCCAGGAGCTCCTTTGTTTCCTGCTCACTCACAAATTCCCCTTGTCTTGTGCTCATTAAAACTGGATGTGGGGCATGTGGTGGGGCAAAGCATGCACCGGCTCATCCAGCATCACCGGCGCTGGGTGGTGGGTTCTGCCTGCACGGGCAGCAGCTGTGCCCTCCACCAAAGTGCCCATCCTGCTGAGCTGTAACCTTCTGCCTGTCCCCAGCTTGGTGTGTTATTAAGTGACATCTTCAGCGTGGGAGTCCCCACTGAAAGGAACGTTTCCTTGCAGCGAATGTTTAACATTTTTGAATAAATCACTTGGGCTGTCAGAGGGCTGAGAGGTACCTCTGAGTCAGCCTTACCAGCCCGAGGAGCTCAGATTTTAGGCTTTCCTGTAGTGCCGTGCGTGGGCACCAGAGAGATGTGATTCCCACGGGGAGTCCCTGGCAGCTGCGGTCAGTGGCCTCTCTCCACTCACGCCAGGGCAGAAGGGACTTGAGAAATCACATGGGGTCCCTTGCTCTGGGGTTGTTCCTCAGACGGTGCTGGGCAGGGGGCTGGTGCTGGCCTAGGGCACCGCAGGTGATGTGAGCCCCCTGCTCATCCCCTGCACCCATCAGGGTGTCACTGGAGTCAGGCAGGAGTGATGCACAGGCATCTCATGTGGGACTTTCTCCCATCGACTTTCTTAAAGAGAAAATTTGCAATCCAATGTAAAACGATCTTGGAATATTAAAAATACAGGCTCAAAACATCCAGAAATCTGGAAATGAGGGAATTAGGACTGCCTGCCTGCCTGGCAGCAATGGATTTGTACCTCTGTGCTTCCCTTACTGCATCCTGACGGATGCTCGGTGCGTGCTGCCAGCTCAGCCCAGCAGCACCGGGCTCCCAGCCAAGCTGTCCCACCAGGCTGTCCGGCCGAGCTCGGCTCATGTGCTGGCAGAAGCACGGCTCCTGTAAAAGACAGAGCTTGTGATGAAGTCGTTAAAGAGCTTCAGTGCATGAGCACATCGTGGTGCAATTAAATTTGTTTAATGCGATCCGTATGTGTGCTCCCTGCAACACGGCATGGCTGGATGAGGAGGGGTGGAGTGGAACGAGAAACCTCTGTCCGGTGGCAAAAATGATCCTGGTCAAAGGGAGGTCAGGCAAGGTGACTTCAAGAGGTCCCTTCCAGCCTGAATTACTTGATCCTGCGGTTCCTGGGTCCCGCCACACGGCTGATGGGCTGCTCCACATGGAATGACAATGCAGGGATCAGGGCAAGCAGAAACAGTAAATACCGCAAAACGTGATGCTACAGGCCAGTGTAGTTTCACAACAGACTCCTTTATGAAATGGGAGCAAATGGAGAACACGTGTCATGGATGACGTTTCACACAGTAACATGGACTGTTCCATTTTGCTCTTAACTGTGGCTTGAGTGGGACACCCCATGGGGGTGGCTTTGCCCTCTGCTCTCCAGCCCCCCGTGCTGCGGCTCGTGGGACTCTCCCACCGTGGTGTTCCCGTATCCCCACTGTGCGTCCCAATCCGTTCCCCAAGCCCCACCGCCGCCAGACTCGCTGTCCCTAACGCCTCTGCTTGTTGTTCCTAGGTTCCCTTCCCCGGGCGGCGGATGCACCACACCTGCCCCTGTCTCCCTGGCCTGGCCTGCCTACGGACTTCTCCCAGCAAATTCAAATGTTTACCGGACTACAGAAAAGAAGATGTCTTTTTTTAGCAGGAGCTATGCTGTGCTGGAAAGAGCCACTCGATGTATTCTTTTTCTTGCTATTGTGATGAACAAGGTACTTGCCAGGGGAAACCCTTCACCGTACGTTCCTGCCTCACCAACCTTATGAGTGAAGATGAGACGCTGTGCTGTAGTGGCCAAATTTTTCCAGGGGTGACTTGCAGTGGTGGACGCTTTCATTTTGGGGTGAGCGAAATGACATCTGCTAGAGCAATATGGCTTTCTGAGAGCAGGAGCTTAACGATTTCTGAACCATCTCGTGGTCCTCGTGGTTCCAGCTTAACCCCAGAATGAAAACTTCAGAGATTATTGTCTGTTTTGGAAAATTTTGGCCATGTTTTTACACTTTGGGATGCCTGAACTGAACTGAGAGTTCAATAATCTCATAGTGTGAAGAATAGGACAATTGCCAAAATATCCTCCCCATGTATTTACATTACATTTCGTAACTTTATTAATATAATTGTATTTGTAAGTTAGGCACATCTCTAAGGTAAAAGTTTAGAGAATAGATGTAGTTTTTACACTTTTTAAAAGTGGCAGGTGGAACCAAAGCACTTCACTATTCAAAACATTAAAAGATTTTGTTATTTCAGTATTCTAAGATGAGAAGATTTTGTTGTTACTTGAGTTGGTGTGAAACTACCTGATCATCTCAAACTATGTATTAAGGTGTAGTTTATATTAAAAAAGGAACCCTGAAGTTTATTGTAATGGGCTGCCTGACTTCTTGTATATGTATCGAATTTGCTGTGTAAAAATTCTGTATCAGAATAATGGCAGTATATTATTTGATTTATTTTAATATTATAACATTATTTTGTCATTGTGGTTTTCCATTTTTATTCAGTGTAATCTGTTATCACATACTCTCTTGACCCAAGCTAGCAGAGCTCCTTATGGATAGCTTAGAAGAAGACTATATACCTCTGGCTGCTTCTGGGGAAACTCAGCGGTTTACAAGGCACAAACTGCTCAAGCAAGCTGCAGTTTTAGACCACGGAGGGATCTTGGTGTAGCTAGTACAAGAGGTTTTACTTGGCACATGCCTCAGAAGATCAACTTTATCCCAACAAACATAAAATTTGTGGGCATTCTATGAAATACTGTGCACCTTCGTATTTACTCGTCAGTCCCTGGAGCTGGAATTCCAATAGTTTGTGTGAGTTTCACACGTTTCTGGCTCTCAGACATGCAAACATATGCTGGAACTGAAAAAGTGAAGTCATTCATCTTTCAACAATCAGTGCTTTGCCACTGATGACGATGGAAGGGGGTTGAAAGAAGTTAGCATGCTTATATTAAGGCAACACCTGCGTTACTTAGAGATGAGAAATGTTCCAGTGAATTCACCAGGTACCTTCCACTGGGCTCCACAGCCTCCTGGGGAGACAGAAAGGAACAACTGGACTTGTTATTTTGCCAGATCCTTGTGGACCCTGCTCATGTTAGAAAAATAAATGTCTTGAGAGATTGAATTGCCTCTTCCTGGCTCGAGATAGCCCAACCCCAGGGCTCCCACTCCAAAGTCTATATATCTTGCTTCACCCTCTGCAGGAGTGATAAACCAGCTGTGCAAGTGGCAACAAACTCAGGTCCTGAAAATAAGGTCCAAGGTGCCACCAAATTTTATATGTAGTTAGCATTAACGTCCTTAGGCACAAAGTGCCTGTATTAAACCTGAAGTCTTAAGAGTAGCTCATCGCAAACCCAAAGAGTCGGATTGTGCTGATGAAAAAACAGCTTACCCCCATGCTAAGAGAACTGCAGAAAATCCCATAACCTGGAATACAGACAACAAACTCAAAACCTGATCCTGACACTTAATAATAGAAGGGCTCCCCAAACACCTTGTGCACCCACACAGTCTGAGTCTGCTGAGGGGGAACACCCTGGGAACCTGGGGGTTGCTTTTATGTCCATGTCTTATCAATACAAAATTAGCTTAATACCATGGACTTCAATCTACACTCAGAGGGAAAATCAAGAAAGAAAATGGAAATAGCCCAAATGTGTTTGTGCCCCATCTCTTGCTCCATTCATTTTTACCAAAACATATTGTCATGGTGCTCAAAACCATGAACCATCGAGGGAAAAACCAGCCCTGCTTCTCAGCTCCCACTGGCATAAATCACCAGTGACACCACTGAAGGTAATAATCCTGGTTTATATCATTGTAAATGAGTAGACAATTATAGCGGATGTCTGCCTCAAGGCCTGCCAAACCCAACTCCTAGGAGAGTTTATCAGACAAGAGAGGAGCAACTTTGTAGTTGTAATTTGCGCCAATTAGCTGATGGGATTAGGCATTTATCTGAGTAACGAGAACAGCCCCAATTCTATGAGGTCAAAGTTCACACCATTCACAGGAGGTTGAAGTGCTTGTGTCCTCAGATGCTGCTGGACAAAGCATTAGAAAGATACTTTGAGAGAGGAGAGAGAGATCTTATCCCGTGCTCGTTCTCGAGGGATTACTCCACACTTTCCCAGATGCTGGTGTAGAAGAGCTGAAGGCAAAACCTCACTGTCCTACATCCTCACCACATTCACTTGGAAATCATTATGACAATTCCCCTCTTAGTGATTAAATTCTCATTAATTGACACTCACAGTGAAGGTTAGTTGACTTGAGACACCATTCTGGAAGGAAGATTAAGCTTTTGCAGCTCAATTTTTTCCTAAACTCTGTCCTAATCAATTACCTTTTCTCCGATCCTAGGGGAGATTCCCCAACCCAAGCACACCTGCAAAGTACCTTTAATTTCTTTCTGCAATAGAAGGGAAAGAAAAAAAATCACTTTACAGTGATAATAGGTAAACCAGTGACCACAAGAAGTGTTCCAAAATGTAAATGGCCATGGATGCCCCTCTGCTTTTAACCTTGAGCCAGCTTTTGACTTAAGGGGCACAGCAAACTGGACTCCACATGGATGACGGAAAAGATGGCCAACCTTGAGCCACCTCTGCCCTGAAAGTTTTTCTGTAGCCCCCTGGGCTTTTCAGTTTGCCTCAGCATCACCCCAGCAAGAATCCCAGGCCAGGAAGATCTTCCTTATCTGCCTGGGAAGAAGAGAAGGGGGCAGGTCCTTGTAAGAGAAATCAGACAAGAAAAAGTGAACAAAACCCACGCAGCCCTGGAAGCACCTTTGTATAAGTCTCATCCTCCAGTGTATGTAGCTTGTTAAGGAAGAGCCTGGTTTAAACACTTTCCTTTATTCACTCCACTTAGGAAATCTGTGCCAGTGTTTGGTTTAATTCTATTAATATTGGAGTAATATTATGAATTATTAATGGAAATATGTGCATTAATTTTTAATATTATATTAATATTTATATTGCAGATATGCTATAGAATAATTACGATACCACACCAAACCGTAGGAGTTTCCATGTTTATTACCAGATATTGGGCTAGCAGAGAGCCATTTCAGGAAAGGACACTACCACATGTAACGAGCTGCTGCCTTAACTTGATGACATGCTTATCAGGAAAAGTGAAACAAGGTGTTTCTGGTTTGCAGGTGCACAGCTGGCTGAGCAAGCAAGCATTTATAAGCCCCAGGGGAGGATCAGACAGAAAGCTCTGCTGCTGAGCAGGAGAAAACTCAGCCTTATCTGCATCCTCCTGCCCACAATTCCCCCTTGGGAAATTTTGTCAGTTAAAAAAAAAAAAAAGTTATGAAGTCTTTGAGTGAGGGGGTGACAGAAAATAAATTCTTCTGGTTGTGTGGCAAGTAGGACTCAGATCTGCATGGGTGCTTACCTAGGAGACAGGTCACCACAACCCTGGTTTTATAAAAGGAGTAGCTGAAGTGAGGGCTGGCAGCGGGAAGCTGAAGATCAGTTTGATGATGGAGAAGATGCTGTGGATAAATACATACTTGCATGGGAAGCCCTAAGGTAAGAGATAGGGTTGTGGTTGGTTTTATTCTCTTGCAAATGGGCTGGGAGCTTTAGACTTGTTACCTCAAAACTCTCCTGTGTCAGGAGATCTTGCAGCACACCTTGTCAAGAGGTACTTTGTTAATTTGTCTTATGAGCATAGCATGCTGTAACGATGTGTGGTAACGGCAAGTATGACCACAGACTGAGGTCTTCACTGATGCTGGGCCCCCCCCGCTCCAGGAGCTCTCTGATTTGTTATTACTGCACAGATGGATATTCTAAAGAAACAGAAGGTGCTAAGAAACCCTTGATTTAAACAAGATGTCTCAGGAATTTGATCTTGACAATGTGTAGCATTTTTTCCAGAAGGAATTAGAAAATTGCGAGAAGAGAAAAGGCTGTGTAAATACAAGAGGATTTTAACAATAGCAAAATCAATGTGCTTTTCTCTATTATGTAGTTATAAAATGCCAAACCAGAGGGGTACAGCTGTTAGGCCAATCAATAGCTCTGAGCACAGGAATGAAGATGACTTTAATGCACATCAGACATACAGCACATCACCTATCCTTTTCCAAGGAGAGTCCTGACTGTCTGCAGACTTAGCCCGGTGTGGTGGGATACATCTCACTGATGTGGCAGGGCAGATCCCAGCCCCCTCAGATGGTGGTGGTAGTCTTTGGGCCACTCTGCCTGGACATAGGGCTGGAAAAGGCTGACTCTGAAAAGCTGAAGCTGAGTAAGTCTGATGTGCTGAATGGAGGGAGGATGGCGTCGTGCTTCATGGCAAGAAGTGCAGGAAAGGAGGTATTAGGAATATAACCATTAGCATTCTTGTAAACACCCCTGTTGCAGAGGTTTCACAAAGGCCTGAGCATAAGGCAGATTAGTATGGAGGGAAATCAATGCATGCACCATGCAAAAAAATGACAGAAAGTTTCTTCTGCAAACCCCAATTTGCCTGGGAAACTGGGTGCATGTTAATTGTGTACCAGGAGCGCCCAAAGCATCCCAGATCGATGCTCCTTCATATCGTGGCACCAGATATCAGTGTGTTACAGGTGTGTCCTTGTCCCTAGAAGGTTACGAATCTCAGACCAGAT